TGAGACACACAGACAGAGGGAGCTTGGGAGCCAGGGGGGGAAACAAAAAGACCGAGAGAGAAACAGAGACACAGAAAAACATTATGTGACCCTGTGTGGCATTTTTTCCACTTATTTGATAGAGAGCTAGAGAGGTAGGAGGCAAATTTAAAAACATAAACAATATATCAATATTTTTATCAACCTATCTAAATCCGGCCCCCCCCGGCCCCCCCGGATATATATATATATATATATATATATATATATATATATATATATATATATATATATTACATAGGGGGTATGAGCGAAATTTTTGCAATTTCATAGGGGTGGTATTTGCAATTTACTCATTAGTCATCAGTACGAGGCCATCAAATATAGGGGTGAGTTCGGGACGGGATTTCGGGAATTCGGGATTTTCGGGATCGGGATTTCGGGATTCGGGATAGAAATTTTAAATCCCAATCCCGTCCCATACTATTAAATCCCGATAATATCGGTATCCCTAAACATTTCGGGAATTCGGGATTGGGATCGGGAATCCCATATTTTGCCTAAAACACTAAGAAATATTGTTTTTTTTTTCCATTAGTATTATTTTATACACCAAACCAATTTGAATATATTATATACATACTATTGTTCTTGCACTATTTAGTTTTACCACAAAACTTAGAACAAATAAAATTTAAAATTTTTAAAAATAAGTTGAAACGATATATTATATTGTATTTCTCATATATATATATATATATATATATATATATATATATATATATATATATATATGTGTGTGTGTGTGTGTGTGGTTTTATTAGTTTTTTTTTCTTAATTCCTAATTCGGGATTAAAATATCCCAATCGGGATTGAACCAATTCCCAATCCCGATCCCGTATTTGTTTCTAATCCCGATCCCGAATCCCGTAATCCCGAATTCCCGAAGTTTTAGTCCCAAATAGTAAAATTCCATTCGGGACGGGACGGGATCCCGAATCCCGATCCCAAAGTCCCAGCCCTAATCAAATCTTTCAATAGATGTCGGAGCAATCTGCCATGCAACTCTTCAATTGATCGCTCTCTGTCAAACAAATATTGTAAAAAGTGTAAAACAATAATTTAAAATATATATATATATATATATATATATATATATATATATATATATATATATATATATATATATATATATATTAAATATATATCACAGAAAAAAAATACTAAGAGGGAGAGTCCTATTGCTGCTGCATTACCGTGTTGAAGGAGATGTTTATGAACATAAAACACTATATATATATATATATATATATATATATATATATATATATATATATATATATATATATATATATATATATATATATATATATATATATATATATATATATATATATTCCGTTCATGTATAAATAAACCAAATACGAGAGAGAGAAAGATAAAAAGGAGACAGAAAGAGAGAGAAGAATGAGGATTGCTCCAGGGTTTGAACCGTCGGACGAAGAGCTGATTAATTGCTACCTGTTGAAAGTATCAATGGGGATTCCACTGCCATGGAATCGGATGTCGGAAAAAGAGATTTACGGCGAAACAGCAGATCCATGGGAAGTTCTTCAAGACGTTCATTGGGAAGATTTTCATTCCGAAACGAAATTCAAGCACGTCACGTACGTTCTTTCCAAGTTATCACGAGTTAATGGTAAGACTCGTATCGCCAGAAGAACAAAATCGGGTACTTGGAAGGGACAAACGAGTGGCAAAGAAATTTACGATGAGTCATCGGGAAATTTAATCGGCTTGTCCAAGATGTTCACTTTTTACAAGAATAAACCTAAAGGCCGGAGCGGCGAAGAAGAAGAAGAACACGGTCACTGGATTATGCAAGAGTTTTCATTGGCCGGGGTTTGTTTGAATTTTGAGTTGAAGTTTAAAGATTACGCAATTTGTAGAATCACTAGGATGTTTCCAAAGGAAAACTAAAAGGAAAAGACAAAGAAGCAGCCGAAGATTAGCAGAAGACGAAGGAATCGAAGAAGATCGTGATGCGTTACGTTGAAAGATTTCGGATGGAGTTAGGAGAAATTAGTTCTAGTTCTTAATTATCGATTCGGATCAATTATTCAATGCAACTTGATATTTTTTTTTCGACCATTATTTCCGGTCTCTATAGTAAGCAATTATGTTTGAAATTAATCAAGAATTTGTTTTTTTCTTGATTGCATATGTTTTATTGTTTAATTTCTATATATATATATATATATATATATATATATATATATATATAAGATATCTTGAAACTACCAATAATTTCTGAAAAAATAAGGGAATGAATGAATGTGTAATTAGGGCAAACATATTATTTTAACTGAGAAGGGGTGAAATCACTATCATATGCCATGCACGTGTGTGTGTGTGTTTTTTCATCCAAGTTAATTAAAAAGGTTAATGGCATGACAAAATCGACAGGAAAATAGCCACGTTGAGCACCAGCATTGTAACTCTAAATTACGCAGTAACAAAAATCGAATTTATTTTTTTCTTTTTTTTTTTAGTAACAAAAATCGAATTGATGAGTGTTTTTGTTAGGGCTAAGGCTTCGACTTTGGGGATTTGATGCCAGAGGGGAATGAGTTGAGTGGGGCCGAATGAAAGATAATTGAAATAGGAGACGGGCGAGCATTTGGTAATTTCTACAGCTTGACCAAACACTTTCAGTGTTCCGGTTGAAAGCCGTAAACTAAAGTCGGAGCCACATTCGAACAATTTTACAAATTCAAGGGTAAATCGATATGATCGAGTAGAACATGGTGAAGTGATCCCGCCCCAAAGCACAATGATGAAAATAAAATCTGGCCCAAGCAAAAATCATGAAATAATTATATGTTCATTTCATATATAAATCTAAATATATTCATCAAACAATTCGATTAGCTAAACAAATATGTCCTGTAAACGAAGTAGAGCACATAAAAAATATAACAAATGAAATCCCTTATAAACGGAGGTCAAGTCTAATATGCCACCCCATTCAATGGTTTAACGAGTATTTTACGATGGCAGTAAATAAAATTCAAGAGCACTTGAGAGAAATATCAATCTTTTAGCCAATACACTTCCTCAAAAGTCAATTCACATACACCTTCATTCATTAAACAATAGAAAAACTCGTTGTAAACAACTTTTGATTTGTTTCGGAGCTGTAATATGGAAATGGAGTTGCACAGAATAATTATGTATTTATCTCCATGAGTTTAATTCGCAGTTCTCTTTTACTACATCAGTGCAAAAGGCAGAGGTAATAAGTGGAGGAAGAAATAAACCTGGTGTGTATCTTCATACGAAAGAAACGTTTCCCAGCCCTCATTTGCAGTGTAATCGCGGCGAACAAGCTGAACTTGTTCTGGTGGATGTCCTGATTTTGTTAAGTAGAATATGAATTCGATGCATCGATAAATCAAAACATCCCTAAATGGAAAGAAATCATGTTTCACTTGCCTGAATACCAGCTTCTCGTGTCCGAACATCTCTACATTTCATTAGCAAAAAGATCACAAAACAGGTCCATTTATTACGAAGGAGGGTTACCACCTAATCCATTTGATAAACGTAATATTCCCCGTTATTTCTTCTGTACATCCAACATCTTCTTCTAAATCCCGATCCGCTTTGTCCAAAATCTTGCATGTTATCTCATCGAACTCAAACTCAATCTCCCTCAACTTGTGAAACCATCTCACTGTCTTCTGCGGTAGCCCTTGCTTGCGCAGATTAGACAGCAGTAAGTTAATCGTAACTAAATCCGGAACAAAGGAAATCTTGAGCAGTTTTGCTGTCAAGATCATCGCATGATCCAGTATATCATGACATATACCATTCATCAGAGGGTTGTGGGTGACTGTGTCGGGAACGATTCCGGAAGAAATAACATCATCGAACATCATTATAGCCTGATCCATTCTCTTGCTTCGGCAGTAGCCGTGAATCTGCGTGTTGTAGGTTATTACATCCGGGCCCCACCCACTGGACTCCATTCTGTTAGCCCAATTTTTAGCATTCAACATATCGAACTGCTTACAGAATCCACTGATCAAAGTGTTGTAAGTCACGGTATCTGCTGTGAATCCGTTCCTGTGCATATCTATGTAAGTATTCATGGCTGATGTCATCCTCTCCTGTCTACAAAACCCTTTGATAATAATGTTGAAGGTGATTAAATCTGGTATTAAACCCCTCTCCCTCATCTCCATCTCCAACTTCCAGGCTTCGTCTAGATTCCCACAATTGCAAAAACCAGAAATCAAAGAATTGTAAGCAAAGTTATTCGGCAGAAGACCTTTGCTCGTCATTTTCAAGAACATGTCATACGCCTTTTCGACAAACCCACCTTTAGAAAGCCCGTCAATAAAAGCAGAAAAGGCAACGGCAACGGAGGCCACCCCCATGGACTCCATTTCTTGCCACAGATCATGAGCTCTCATCATATCGCCTTTCTTGAAATATCCATCAAGAACCACGCAGATAAGGCACCGAGGAAAGTTCCGGAATCTGGAAGAAGCAGACAAAGCTCTTGCATTTCGGAGAAGAGTCTCAAAGCTTCATCTCCTTTGCCGTTTACAGCAAGACCTACGATCATGGCGTTGAATGAAACCACATCTTTTTCGACTATCTCGGCGAAAATTTCTCTCGTAGCATCCAAATTCCCGCATTTCGAGTACATATCTATCAATGCAATTGCGAGATTCCAAGAAAGAATGCTTCTTTTACCTTTGTCAGAAATCTGATCGAAATTCACCCTACTCTGCTCCACCTTTCGGCATTTTCCGTATTAATAAACGAGTACAATATTAACATAATCAGAAGCTAAATTGCTGCATTCTTTTAGCATATGTGTCGTTAGTTTCACCCATTTGTCAAGGTGTGGGGGAGTAAGGCTCGAACACGCAGATAAAACACTAACCATGGTATCACTTTCAGGCAGCAGATTTTCGTCGAGCATCATCGTAAATAAATTGAGGGCGTCTTCGGATGATCCGAGTTTAGCATATCCAGAAATCAAACAAGTCCAGCAAAAAATCAAATTTCTGTCAGGCATATCATCAAACACCTGGTGTGCTGACCTCAAATCCCTAACCACCTAGGCATAAACCATAAGCAAGCCATTGCAAACAAAAGAATCAGACACGAAAGCCGATTTCAGGACATGGCAGTGCACTTGGCGCACGCAATCCACACCGGCACCGCCATCTCTAGAGCACGCCTTGCCGCAGAAAACGGAAATTTGAGCGCGAAATTCGAATGGTAGTGGCCGATGAGACGAGTGGCGATGAGATTGCTCTGGTGCGCATTGAGGCGGAAAATGCGAGCGTGGAGTTGGATGAGGTGAGCGCGTGGGATGCAGCCTTGTAATTTATTATTCTGGTTTAAAAAAAAACACAATAATAAATTATATTTCTCATTTTAAAAAAAAAATACATTAAACTTTTCATTTTATAGAATAATTATTTTTAAATTAAAACAAGAGTTTTTGACTTGATAAGGGTAATTTAGTCTTTTTTCAGTTTTCTATTCAAGGGGTTATGTGCCTAATTTCATACCATAAGGAGGTCATGTGCAAAATTTCAAAACCACAAGGGGGTTATGTGTCTAATTCATACCATAAGGGGGTCACTGTGCAAAATGTTCAAACCACAAAGGGGTTAACTGCTATTTACCCTTGAATTAATACATGAGTCACATTCCTAATTTTTTAGTTATTCCTATATTGCCCTTCTACCCTAAATTATCTAACCTATACATTCACGTTTCTTCAATTTCAGATTTATTTCTCTTTATTTTTCCTTTCTCTCCCACGTTCTCTAACTCTCCATCTCCCTCTCCCTCACGTTTTCTCATTGTATCTCTTTCTCTCTCTCTTTTTTTTTTCTCTTTCTCTCTCAACCACCTATCTCTTCCTTGTTTTGTCCAGTAGCAACGAAGGCCGACGATGGCAGGTGGAGTTGTGGCGGAGAGGGCCGCGGCGGTGGTTGTGCGGTGCGGAGGGTTGTGGTTATGTTTGCTTGGTTTGGGTTCAAAATAGCAGATCTAGCGTTTCCCATCTTCGCTTCCTTGTTTTCTCCAGTAGCAACGAAGGTCGGCGATGGCAGGTGGACGGCGATAGTGATTTTGCGGTGCCGGGTGGGGGGGGGGGGGGGGGGGGGTTG